ACGATGCATGCACCTTAGACTTTGACCACCGGTCATACTCATTGGGAGAGACATAATGATTGTAACTCTGGTCACTGATGCTAGAGGAGTAGATCCAATAGGTTGTCCAAATGGCAATGCAGGAGCAGCAAGAGTAGGTAGTGCCGCATTAGTGTAGATGCCGCCAGGAGGAAGTTTGTGAGGCCAGTCTGTCAGATACCCAAACTTCTGGTAGCATTTGGTTATGAAATAATTGTTCCTACCGCAATGCTCACAAGGAGAAAAACTATTGCGACTAAGAGGAGTAGCATGCCCAAGACCCTATTTACGACCACAATTGAAGGAGGCACCACGACCCGCTTCAGGAGTGGTAACTACAAGTGCTGAAGCTTCAGGAGCGACCGCTGGGGATGAAACAGGGGCCAAGGTCGGGGTCGATATGGGAGCGATCTGCTGCACAACATTAAATGTTTCCTCTAAGGTGAGAGAAGTAACTCCATTGAGAACTAAGCCTTTGACTTGATTGGCCAAAATCGGGTCAATAGAGTGAAGATAGACAATTACTAATAGCTCTTGACGATAATGTTGATTGACGTTCGGATAAGAGGAAATCAATTGATATTGATCCAACAGATTTCCAAGCTTCATTAGTGTAGGATACGCAGAATGCCTTGGAGATGACGTGCCATGCAACTTATTATGGTTGCTAAAGATATCCTTCATATGACCGATGCTCCCTTTGGCCCTAAACGAACAATAGAGCTTGTCCCACATTTGTTTGGCTGTATCTAGATTGATAGTCCTAACAAATTGTGGAGCGACCATTTTAAGAATCTAAGCTTAGACAATCTCATCTTTCACTATCTAATCGGACAGGCTGGAGTCGCTGGCAGGTGGCGGTAAATCCGTAATAAACTGGCAATAGCCATGAATGCTAAGAAAATAGACGAAAATTATGTGCCCATTAATGATAATTGATACCGTCTTCGGTGAGAGGCAGACGCAGACTGTGAAGTTGATTAAGGAATAGATTCACCGACGTAACATGAACAATGGGGGTAGAGGCACTGACAGTCTGCCCCCAGTTGGTAGAGACAGATGGAGATGCCGAAAGAATTTTCATCTCCATGAAAGGCGGCTGACATTAAAGCTAGAAGGAGGCGGCGGCTTGTAATGCAGTGGTGCCAGCACCGGAAGGGCGGCAAGAACAATGAAAGAGGCACGGCGAGAAGCGGCGGCGGCAGCGCTTGCAGAGGCATGGCGAGAAGCAATGACGGCACCTGGTAGGTGCTGCAAGACGGCAGAAAATAGGATGGCATCCGGCAAGCTCAGGCTAAGATGGTGGCGGTGACAGGATCAACCTGGCTTTGATACCATGTTGAAGGAGAAGAGAAGGAGACGCCAAGGAAAGAGAGACAAACCGTCCCTACTCATTAGAGAGAAATGAGAGGTTACATATAGGAAGAGATGGGACGCCAGAAGAAGAGAGAAAGTCGCAGAAGGTGGGAGGACGTGGGAGAGAGAGAGAGAGAGAGAGAGAGAGAGAGAGGGCGACCGCTCATCTCCTGTGGGCCCACTGGGCCATATTCTCACAATAGAACGATGTGAGAATTGGGGTTTCATTCCAACACGTCCGTTCCGTTGCATATGGAGAACCGGAGAAGATCATGATGCTAGTTCGTTAACAGTAAGAAGTAGTAAACATCGAATTACTTGGGATGATCGATGCCCACGAAGATGAGAAGATGGAGAAATAAACAACATCCTCCTCCCCCTCCCTCCCTCTCTGTGTGAAGAAGATCACATGAGACCCCTCACGTTATGGAGAATTAAGAAGAGGAGTCCGAATCTCCTAAACGAGCTCTAAATGTCAATGTCATGTTTTGTCTCCTAACCATGCATGGAATCGAGAGCTGGGATTTGAAGCTAAAGTTTAACTTCCAAGATGTACCCACCTGGAGCTCCTCCAGGAAGGCGAGAATGATGGCCGGGGTGATCCCTCTGACCCCGCCTCCGTCGATACTTAGTATGGTTATAATTTTATCTGCGCTGGCCTGTTGCTCCTTGCTCGCTGTTTTTCTGGACGCTGAGCTCATGCTAGTGGAATAATCACTTTTCAGGGATTCAAGAAACTGGAGACGGATAGGGAGAGAGAGGTGGAGCAAGAAGAAGTAGAAGAAAGAGAGGAAAACAGGAAGAGTGAAATATCTGGCACCGAGAATATGTTCTCAAAGTCATCTGGATTTTGTGCACCCCAACACACTATCCTACCAATTTTATCCCAACACGGGAATGAAGAACAGAGGCAAAACCATTCCGAGGTCGTCGGGGTTCCTAATTTTCAGGTTACCGGGGAAGCAATTATCCTACCATTGAATAGTTCGTGTCCTTGTGCCCCAGAGGAAGGAGAAAAAGACGTTATTAAGTGCAAAGGAAGGATAAAATAAGTGTTCTATATGATGGCTTTTCCACCGTATATCGGACATCAACTGGGTTGCCTATTCGTTTTTGTTATTCCTGTGCCAAACAATGTTTACCTTCCCAATTGTCACGTCTCCTACCTCGGCTACAAGTCCTGCACAATTTTTTATTCTTTTTATTAATTACTAACGCTCGACCATTGCAACACGATCTTGGGGATGATAGAGACACAAGTATCTTAGTGATGAACAGAAGTTTTGGGCTTATGATTTGACAAGAGATTATTAAATGTACGTTTTCGTTATTTATTTTATCTTGACTCTGGCTCATTTGGACGAGACTTTGTCAAAGTCTACAGAAAAGTTCAGGAAACCTCCTGTCTAAGCTCCCATTACTTGATCTGGGCACCTGCATGACTACCAATGGCTGCCCCTTGAGGTGTGGAGATGATTGCGGCTGAGAGAGATTTATGCATGTAGAATATATGGCATGGGGGAAAGACAAGGTGCCTGTCAGTTGTCTGGTGTTGGAGACCATCAATACCGAGCATCGAGCTTGCAAATTCACAGGCCAGCTCGGTTACTTTTAAATCTTCCGAATTGGACTTGAATCGTAAGCCAAGATGAAGGGAAGAGTGTTTCTTCTATAGTTACATACAGTTTTTCTTGTCATGATGACGGTGAATGTTTTTCGAATTTATGTTTCATCTTCAAGTTTTGTGTTGGAATTTTTTTCCAGGTATTATAATATCTACACGTTATGTTTCAAGTTAAGCAAGTGCTATTTTTTTTGATGCTATAAGTAGCTTTTAGTTGCTATAATAACTGGTTAGAACTAGAATAGGCTGGAACACCTGAGTTTCTTTGAGATAAACCAGTTGCCCGAGTCAGACGAGCTTGGGTGAATAAGCGTGGTAAGTGGGGCTCAGTTATGTATAAACGCGGATAAAAATAGCAACAAATTACTCGATCAATATGGTCAAACAGACCATATTGATATATCCTTCCTGTTACCGAATAGGATAATTGATTAATTTAACCATTTAGGTGTGAAATATGCTAGGTTATCTATGTTTATCCGAGAGAACCTAGTTGTTCGCGTTTGATAAGCTTGGAAAACCGAGCAAGTCATTTGAGGTCCAGTTGGGAATAAACATGGATAAAGTCGTACAAACTTATTTGGCCAACCGTGAAGGCAGAATATCCTGACATTTTCTACTGTTGGCTAATCCAAGTCATATTTCCTAAATTTTATATGATCCTGCTGGCTGAGCTATCAACCTCACCGATGTTAAACATTGAGCATGTCCAAGTACTTGATAAAAACTTGGAAGTAGTTCCCCATATCCAAATGTTTCGCTTATATTTCCAAGTATGTATTTCATTCCTTTCTAATGTACTGAGGTACTGTTGAAGGGAGTAGCTTGTTCTTTTCATGAACTATCATAAAAATTCAAATAAAATTCAGATAAACTGAGAATTTTTGCCATATCTTTGTAATATGGACCTGACGTGAGCATCCTGAGGGCCATTTGTTATTTTACTCTAGCTGAATTAGAACTTTAATCTTGTAGAGAATCTAATAATAACTTACTCTTTAAAATTCTTGTAGATTGTTTTTTCCATTATATTAGGGGAAATGAAATGAATATGTTGTAAAATATGCCATTGCCTCTTTTTGTTTCCTAGAAGTTTAATTGGGCGTTTCAACTAGAGTCAGTAAGCGGTAGATAGATTTTGGTTTTTAAAGAACATAATGATAATGATGCGTTAAACATATAATTTTTTTTGAATGGAGTGGCTAGACATTGTATTTTTTGATACACTAACTACCTGGAGAGAGAGAGAGAGAGAGAGAGAGAGAGAGAGAGAGAGAGAGAGAACGGATAATAATCTGCATAGTAACATAATAACATTATAATCTACAGGAAAATTTGTATAAAATTTCCAAGTAAAGCCCAGAAAGTAGATAATAACATTAAGAACAAAGATAAATCCATCTTTTAAAGTCATACAACGAAGTAGATGCACTATAAACTACAGAATAGATCTATTTCGGCTGATTGCTATCTCCCCATATCCGTAGGAGTTTATTGAAGTCCCCATCCGATTTTCGATGGCTCTGCTTTACTAATTGCCAAATTTTCGAAGCTTTCTCTCATCCGATAGTTGCTTTGCGAACCTTATGCAGAGAGAAACGACGATTCAGCTTTAAATGAAACTGATGAATAAATAATAGCTTGGTCAAATATCATCAGAAATGACACCCTTTAGCAGGCCTGCCCATTAAAGGTTCATGCCAAATTCACACTAAACTTGTACCGGTATACAGAATGCTGAATGTTGGATTTTCAAATTCAGAATCACAAGGTAAACGGTTGAGGAACCTCTTCAATCCAATACCATGATGTGACCTGTAAGTTCCAATGAATCATTCCTGTAATAGGAATGAACCTACACTCCCTATATTTCGGCTGAAGTGATAACTCATCAGTTGAGAACGGAGATGTAGCTGATTGAGTTGGATAATCACTTTTTAAAACCGGCAAGTCAAGAGAAGCATCCTTGATTGATCGTCAAAATAAGAGCGGGTTTGAATCATCACCTTTTAAGGGCGCCCCTGTTTGTCTCGTTTCCCACGGGTTCATTCCGGCCAGTATCAAGGTTGACCCTGGAAACTGGCTTGTCGAGCAGCTTTTTTCCAATGTCGATAAGGTTATCTAGGTTTTCCTTTGTCGAGATGTCCACCGAAGAAGCGTCCCCGGAGAGCGTGTCGTCCTGCATTTTATACTATAGCTTATGAATCCAACAATTAAACCTCTCTCTCTCACACGCACACAGAGATTTCTATACTGTGTGTGTGTGTGTGTGGGCTTACATACTATGCAGTCTAGATGGCCATAATATATTAATATTGGAATGTGATCTGATTTCTCTGTGAAGTAAAATTACAAAATTGTCGGTTTACCTGAATTCTCAAATAATTATTTTCAGAATTTAGAGCCTGGAAGACAACGGAGATGTGGATATCGACCATGTCAACTATCGCTTGGCTGAAAACGTCGATCAGGGGGTTTGAGTCGCCGTTGCGAATCCACCCTAGTGCACCCCAACGGCTGGCCTTCTCGGCGTTATATTTTTCCTCCTGTTTCTGCGTGCCTGTGCCAAGTGAAATAAGTAGAAATTTTCGATAGTCCAGCGGCTTTACGGGGAAGAAGGCGGGGTTCTCCCTGTAAAGCTCCTTCGTAATCTCTCTCATTGCAAGCAGTGCCTGTGAGATACACTTGAAGTTACATGAGGATCACTACGGGAAGCAATAGATTCATCGTACTTGATGAATAAATACCATACCGGATTGTTGGCGGCCACGCCTCCGTCAATGAGATTGTACTCCTTTCCATGTGCCGTGAAGCGGTGAGCAGGGAGGTACGTGGGGGCAGCTGATGTGCTGATGGTGACGTCTAAGAGCTTCACATCCAAGTATTTGTCGTTCTTCAGCTGTATGCATTCCCACTCATGATTAAGGCCACATGTAATCAGAGCACACCCCCTGGTATCATCGGGAGGGTAACTATTTTCTTCTGTGAATAATAGGCCGGGGGGCACAAGAAGCCCTGGCATATTTCATACGGCACAGATCCGAAGGAACGATGTTTGACCCGAACCCTTCCGTAGCCAGAGCAATGATCCGTACTGCCGTGACTAGGGAGGGCGAAGGAGTCAGGACAGGGGTAACAGGAAGGACCCCATGAGGCCTCGGGCGACGGGTCCACCCTTATTTTGTCTTTATACATTTGTTCAAAAGAACGTCTCAATCCCGTGATGCCATTGTCATGGTCATCCAAAAGGGTTTTCACGTCAAAACTTTTGTTAATATATAGGTCACTATCGTATTAATAGTCGTAGTTAATCATGCGTCTATATTATCAATTACTGAAACTGCGAGTCCCCACACGAATATCTTATCGGCTGGATGACATACTGCTGCCTAATCGGAAAAGTCAAACGCGGCCGATCAAATCGCTATTCTCTTAAGGCATCTATAATAAGAGGAAGGTAACGATCCAAATGGAGAACCAAAAACAAAAGAGAGAAATAATAATAATAGAACAAAATTAGTACGCCGGGTGAAGTTCAAACCTCAAAACTGGAGAATACAATGGGTTGGAGATACTTGATATCGAATGTCGGGATGACTACGTTGGTCAATGTTTCGTGCACCTTTGTCGTTCCGAGTTTCTCCTGTATCATCTTGTAGAGGTATTTTCCATCATACTTAGGACCAAAAAGCTGTTTGACCGTCTTGACAATTCCGGTGAATGGCCCAGCACTGATCATCATTAATGAAGAAACAGCTTCAGTAATCCCTTCTGATGTGTTTTGAACGATTCGTTTGTTTGAGGAAGATGAAGTTTTTAGTTCTCATGGGAATAAAATATTAGTGAAATTCGTTAAACAAAACTTTTACAATCTCTAACTTGAAGAGTAAATTAAACTTGATCCTTCTGGAAGTGTAAAATTCATCTTATTGATTTTTAGAGAAGAAAGAAAATTGAAGAGTGCGTTAATCAAATAAAATATTGATTAGGAATCTCCACTAACTCAATTTCAAGTTGAACATAACTCTACAAATAATATTGACCAAGATAGATCAGAAAAGGAACAAAAGTCCGTTTCTCAAAATGGTAGAACGCACCATATATTACCCATTCAGAAAAGTTTGTACAAAACTTTGTTTCGATTCGTCATATCATCAAATCATCAGCTACTAATTGTCAGTAGTTACCTGACTTGGGGAAAGATCTTGGGGCAGTGTTCTTGGTAGAAAGGCGTGATATCACTGGCTGCAAAGAGGGGGCGACCTTGTTCATTAGGAGCTGTCAGCATGGCCGTCACGAGGCCCCCAGTGCTTGTCCCTGCGATCACATCGAAGTAGTCCACGAGCCTTGCATCCTCTCCGTCCAGCGCCTGTTTCAGGTCAGTGGAATAAAATTTGTCTTTATTTTGAACATCTCCACGGAAATTTCTATGTAGGAAGATTTACGCCATATTTTCGTTTCCGGGAATGGGTAGTGCCATATAATGATAAAAATACTACGATTTTGCCACGACTAGACGTGCCAGTTCCCCATCTTAACCTCTCTTTCTCTCTCTCAGCTTCTCTTCTCTCTCTCCCTCTCTCTCTCTATCCATCTATCTCTCCCTCTCTCGCTCGTTCTCTCGCTCTCTTGGACAGTTCTTTTGTCATTCTTGGGAGAGTGGGAAGATTATTCCACTATCCTCGTGTATATCCATCGTGGCCGTCGAAGATCTTATACTTTTGTTTTTGGTTGAAAATGGAAGTAATCATACGTTGGTCTACATTTGAGTGAAGAAATTAAAATTCCCTCTTCCATATCGAAGAAAGGGTAGACGAAAGAATTCTTGGTGAAAATGTTTGACTTTGGGGAGAGAAAGTCAGCTCTTGCTCCAACGTACCTGGAGTTCCTTCTCCAAGAAGTCAAGAATGGTGGCAGGGATGATTCCTCTGATCCCACCTCCGTCGATGCTAAGGATGGTGATCATCTTTCTGTTGCCCCGTTCCTGAGCCATAGCTTCGTCGGGCAAAGAACAGGAAAAATGGAACAGGAACTGAAAGCAAGACTAGGAACAAGAAGTTGTCGGAGGAGGAGCTCAATGATCGAGTTTCCTCTGAGCACCCCGAATATTTGTAGAGGTCCAAACCAGAGATCCCATATAGCGTGAAGGAGAACAATATCGTGGACTTTGGAGGAGGACTTATTCATCGGTGGTCGGTATTTGGTCAGAGCACGTGTGGAAGTCATAAGAACGAGGAAGCGGAGGTGGGGTGACGGTTCTGTTGCTGCGTATGTCGTAGGGAGACTCCCTCACACGCGATAGCGCAAAAGTGCGATATTTGGATTGGTTGATCTTATGGACCAGGTTTAAAATCGTTATTTGGCTAGTCAGCCGAGTTTTGAGCGGCGGCTCAAGCCCTCATAGGAAATCAACCGGCCGATCACGGGGAATTGGTCTTCGATGGGTAGGTTGCTCACTCGAGACCGAAATTTTCGTTGCTATAAAAAATAAGTAGCTCTCTACTCTAAGATTTTACGCTTTCGTTGAAAAGATGTCAAATCACATTTGCGAGGATATCTTTCCATCGGTTGAAAGAAAATAACCGTCTGTGATGAAGACCCAAAGGTTTAATACACGTGAGGATATCGTGCATATATTACGTTTGTGAACTTGTAACTATACACGTGAGGATATCGTGAGGATACAGACCGTTTATCCCCGCTCTCGGCGTTGAAACAAGTATACGCTACTCAACCGTAAGATAGAGAACAATAAGAACAATAGCTTTGAAAAACCTAGATCAAGCTTGATATTGCCATCAAATTTCACCCATACGCCTTTAACCGTGGAAGGTGGAACTCACTAAATGCACATAAACATCTAATATAATAATAACACGCGAGGTATCTTTGCCATGAACCTGTGGACACAAATGGGGAGGAGCCATCTTTGGTGGGACAAACCGCCATTTTTTTGACCAGCGGTTCAAGCATTCAGAAGGCATCGACCGACTGACTACGGTGATTTGGTCTTCGATGTGTAGGATCCCCGCTGCAGTAAGAAATTTCGTTCCCAGAAAAAATAAAGCCCTCTCTTCTCCAAGATTTTACGCTCCCTCGTTGACAAGAAGTCAAAGTAGCATTTCGGAGAATAATGTGCCTTCGGTAGGAAGAAAATAACTATCGATGATCAAGACCCGAATGTTTAATACACATGAGGATATCGTGCATGTGTTACCGCTGTGAAGCTGTAAATTACAGACTGTTTATCCCACTCTAGGCGTTGAAACAAGTATACTGTAGGCATTATTAATTTGGCTCAGCTCTTACGACGGACCATTAATGATGCATTGAATGAAAGAGGTGGAGAGTCGTCGTTCCACCTTTGCTATAGAACGAGAGGTAGAAATTGCCCACACAGGTGGTGAGTTTTATTAAAATTCTTTTTGTCGGTACTTTTGCTGTGAGTTGATCATCCTCTTTCGAATAATAAGGACAATAACACTAAAAAAACTAGTTCCACTTCAATGAAAACCCTGCCTATCAAAATTTTGTTTATGCACATCCAACCGTCGAAGGGTTAACTCACTAAATGTACATAGATATCTACTGTAATGATAACACACGAGTTATCAAGTAGCTGGCTTCGAATAGCCAGTTTAGGAACGATGGAAGGGATGCGGAAACTGGTCTCAACTATAGCTCTGCTGGTTGATTATCATGGGCCTTTTGGCGGTGTCTTAGTCCTCCATGCATGAAGTTAGATGCAGAGCTCTCTACCACTGCCACTGTCAGCGGCCGTCGCTTCGGTACGAGAGGACAGTGAGGTGAGTTGTAGCCGTGCTTATAGTCGCCATACTTCATCTTCCAGCTCATGAAGATAAAACGGTTAGCTTGGAATGATCAAAGTCAGAAACATGAGCCAATTGACTTTATATAGCTTCTTCGAATGAGGAATCTTGTGCAAGAAAGTTAGCGAACGAAAACGAAGAACGAGGAAACGACACGCAAGTTTACGCAATCCAGGCTATATGAATACCAAGAGAAGAAGGATGATGAAATATTATTATTAAGCACAATTACGGAAGGTTCCGATCAATGCTCAACTCAGAGAAAGTGATACCTGCCCGGTAGTTTTTTTTTTCATGATAATAATATTTGAAGTTAGAGCTAGATGCGCGAGTTTGTTGAGTTCCCATGTTCAAGGCCTGTTCTGATAGAGAAAGCTAGAGCAAATTGGACCCGAACAGATTCAGAGAGAGAGAGAGAGAGAGAAGAACTCGAATCCTATTGTCCTCCCGTAGCCTAACCACAGTGTTGTTAAGGGATGCCATGTCAAGGGCCTGGAACCAGCCAAAGTTTTTATAACTTGTCCAATCGATTTTTATGCAAAGGCTTTAAACTAAATAAATTATCAAATACTTCAGATTTTTGAGAAAGAAAATACAGTCAACTCATGTATGTAAAGTTATTAATAATCAATAAAAAATATCGATTATTGTTCAAATATGGTATCTTCCTTTTTCCAGTAAGTGGTATTAAAACATTGGATTCTTGTATTGCCCATTTTCTACTTCCATGGAGACTGCAGCAATATCATGCCATTGCCTCTTTTTGTTTCCTAAAAGTTTAATTTGGTGATTCAACTAGAGGCAGTAAGCGGCAGATAGATTTGTGTTTTAAAGCACATCATGATAATGACGCGTTAACCATATAATTTTTTTGGATGGAGCGGCTAGACATTGTATTTTTTGATCAACCAACTTCCTGAATAAGGAACGACGGAGAGAGAGAGAGAGAGAGCGGATAATAATCTAATTACATTGGTTCATTCAGAAAGTACATAATAACATTGAGAATAGAAAGAAGTCCATCTCTTAAAGTAATACAAGGAAGTAGATGCAGTATAAATTACAGAATAGATCTCTTTCCGCTGATTGGTGGCTCCCCATATCCATAAAAGTTTATAGAAGTCCCCATCATATTTTTGATGGCTCTTCGTTACTCTGGCCAATATTTCAACGCTTTCTCTCATCCGATAGTTGCTTTGCGAACCTAGAGCAGAGAGAAATGACGATTCAGCTTTAAGTCAGAATGATGGATGAAGAATAGCAATATCAAATATCATCAGAAATGACACCATTTAGCAGGCCTGCCGCATCAGCTCTACGTATCAACTACAGTTAGGTCCATGCCAAATTCACACTAAACTATTACCGGTATACTTAATGCTAAATACTTGGATTGTCAAATTCAGAATCACAAAGGTAAACGGTTGAGAAACCCCTTCAATCCAATACCATGATTTGACCTGTAAGTTCCAATAAATCATTCCTCTAACATGAATGAACCTATAGTCCCTATATTTCGGGTGAAGTGATAACTCACCTAATATCAGTTAAGAGTGGAGATGTAGCTGATCGAGTTGGATAATCACTTTAAAACCCCCAAGTCAATAGAAGCATCCTTGGTTGATCGTCAAAACAAGAGCGGGTTTGAATCATCACCTTTTAAGGGCGTCCCTGTTTGTCTCGTTTCCCACGGGTTCATTCCGGCCAGTATCAAGGTTGACCCTGGAAACTGGCTTGTCGAGCAGCTTTTTTCCAATGTCGATAAGATTATCTAGGTTCTCCTTTGTCGAGATGTCCACCGAAGAAGCGTCCCCAGAGAGCGTGTCGTCCTGCATTTTATACCATAGCTTATGAATCCATCAATTATACTGCATGTATATATATGTACTGTATAATCTAAATCTCCAAAATAGATTAATCACTTAGTATTGGAATGTGATCTGATTCCTCTGTGAAGTAAAATTACAAAATTGGCAGTTTACCTGAATTCTCAAATAATTTTTTTCAGAATTTAGAGCCTGGAAGACAACGGAAATGTGGATGTCGACCATGTCAACTGTCGCTTGGCTGAAAACGTCGATCAGAGGGTTTGAGTCGCCGTTGATAATCCACCCTAGTGCACCCCAACCGCTGGCCTTCTCGGCGTTATATTTTTCCTCCTGTTTCTGCGTGCCTGTGCCAAGTGAAATAACTAGAATTTTTCCGTAGTCCAGCGGCTTCACGGGGAAGAAGGCGGGATTCTCCCTGTAAAGCTCCTTCGTAATCTCTCTCATTGCAAGCAGTGCCTGTGAGATACACTTGAAGTTACATGAGGATCACTACGGGAAGCAATAGATTCATCGTACTTGATGAATAAATACCATACCGGATTGTTGGCGGCCACGCCACCGTCAATTAGATTGAACTCCTTTCCATTTGCGGTGAAGTGGTGAGCCGGCAGGTACGTGGGGGCAGCTGATGTGCTGATGGTGACGTCAGAGAGCTTCACATCCAAGCGTTTGATGTTCTTCAGCTGTATGCATTCCCACCCATCATTAAGGCCACATGTAATCAGAGCACACCCCCTGGCATCATCGGGAGGGTAACTGTTTTCTACTTTAAATAATACGCAGAAGGCCACAGATCTGAACCCTTCCGAAGCCAGAGCAATGATCCGCGCTGCCGTGACTAGGGAGGGCGATGGAGTTAGGATGGGTAATGTGATGGACCCCATGAAGCCTCGGGCGAACGGATCCACACTTATTTTGTCTTTACACAGGACGGGCTCAATCCTGTGATGCCATTGTCATGGTCATCCAAAAGGATTTTCACGTTCACCATTTGGTTAGTATCTAGGTCAATGTCGTGTTAATTGTCGTCATGAATGTTTGTACGTGTCTGAATTATCAAATGTTGAGATTCCGAGTCCCGTAATATCTCGGTAATGGACACGAAAGTATTGTCGGTTGCACAACTTACTGCTTATCGGAAAAGTCAAACGTGGCTTATCCAAGCGCTATTATTACAAGGCATCTATGAAATTGCGGACAAGTGGAAGGTAACCATACAAATGGACAACAAAAAATAGAAATAATAACAATGGAACCATATTGACACTTTCGGGTGAAGTTCAAACCTCAAAGCTGGAGAAGATAATTGGTTGGAGATGCTTGATATCGAAGGCGGGGATGACCACGTTGGTCAACGTTTCGTGCACCTTTGTCGTTCCGAGTTTCTCCTGGATTATCTTGTGGAGGTATTTTCCATTATACTTCGGACCAAAGAGATTTTTGGCTGTCTTGAGAATTCCGGTCAATGGCCAAACGCTGATTATCGTCACAAGAGAAACACTTTCATTAATATCTTCTGATGTTCTAGGCGGTTTTGTTTGTTTGAGAAAGCCGAAGGTTTGAGTTCTGATGGGGATAAATTACTAGATAAATTCGTAAACATTTTTTTTTAGAATTGATAATTTAAACAGTATATTAAAACTTGATCCTCGTGGAAGTTCAAATTCAAATCGTTGATTCTGAAGGAATAATGAAAATTAAACTGTGGGGTAAATAAATAAAATATTTACTGGAAATCCAAACTAACTCGATTGAAAGTTGAACATAATTATACAGATAATATTGACCAAAAATCATTAAAAAAGGAACAAAAGACTCTTATAAAAACTGGTAGAGCCCACCATATATTTCACGTTCATAAAGTTTCGTACAGAACTTTGTTTCCATTTGTGACATCATCAAATTATCAGCTACTAACTGTGAGTAGTTACCTGATTTGGGGGAAGATCTTGGGGCAGTGTTCGAGGTAGAAAGGCGTGATATCACTGGCTGCATAGAGGGGACGACCTTGTTCATTAGGAACTGTCAGCATGGCCGTCACAAGGCCCCCAGTGCTTGTCCCTGCGATCACATCGAAGTAGTCCACGAGCCTTGCATCCTCTCCGTCCAGCGCCTGTTTCAGGTTAGTGGAATAAAATTTGTCTTTATTTTGAACATCTCCACGGAAAGTTCTATGTAGGAGCATTTACGCCATATTTTCGTATCCGGGAATGGGTAGTGCCATATAATGATAAAAATACTACGATTTTGCCACGACTAGACGTGCCAGTTCCCCATCTTAACCTCTCTTTCTCTCTCTCAGCTTCTCTTCTCTCTCTCCCTCTCTCTCTCTATCCATCTATCTCTCCCTCTCTCGCTCGTTCTCTCGCTCTCTTGGACAGTTCTTTTGTCATTCTTGGGAGAGTGGGAAGATTATTCCACTATCCTCGTGTATATCCATCGTGGCCGTCGAAGATCTTATACTTTTGTTTTTGGTTGAAAATGGAAGTAATCATACGTTGGTCTACATTTGAGTGAAGAAATTAAAATTCCCTCTTCCATATCGAAGAAAGGGTAGACGAAAGAATTCTTGGTGAAAATGTTTGACTTTGGGGAGAGAAAGTCAGCTCTTGCTCCAACGTACCTGGAGTTCCTTCTCCAAGAAGTCAAGAATGGTGGCAGGGATGATTCCTCTGATCCCACCTCCGTCGATGCTAAGGATGGTGATCATCTTTCTGTTGCCCCGCTCCTGAGCCATAGCTTCGTCGGGCAAAGAACAGGAAAAATGGAACAGGAACTGAAAGCAAGACTAGGAACAAGAAGTTGTCGGAGGAGGAGCTCAATGATCGAGTTTCCTCTGATCATCCGCAATATTTGTAGAGGTCCAGACCAGAGATCCCATAAAGCGTGAAGCAGAACAATATCGTGGTTTTTGGAGGAGGAATTGTTCATCGGTGGTCGGTATTTCATCAGAGCACGTGTAAGACGTGGAAGAACGAGGAGGAGGCGGGGGCTGGGCGACCGTACGGCTGCTGCGTTGCGACAGGGGGACTTCCGCCCACGTAGTGGTCCCCGAAGTGTGATGTTTGGATTGGTTCAGCTTATGGACTATTTGTGAAATCATTGTTTGACTAGTCATCTGATTTTGACCGATCACCACGAGTGGGTCTTCAATGTGCAGGTTGCCCGTTCAAGTCAATAAATTTTTTGCCAGAAAAGTAAATTCTCTCTTTAGCCCTAGATTTTACGCACTTGGTGAAAAGAAGCCGAAGTCACCTTTGTGAGAGTAATTTTCCTTTGGCAGGAAGAAAATAACTGTCTGTGATGAAGTCCCAAAGGGTTGATACACGTAAGGATATCGTGCATATTGCCTCTGTGAACTCTGTGAACTCTGTGAACTACAGATGTTTATCCCCACTCTGGGAGTTTAATGAAACAAGTATACGCTGGCCAACCGTCAGACAGAACAGTGAGAAAAATAGCTTTGAAAAGCTTAGTTCAACTTTACCAGAACACCTGGGCATTCACTATTTCATTCATGCGCATTCAACCGTGGAAGGGGTGATTCACTAAATGTACATAAACCTCACCTCTAATGTGATAATAGTACGAGAATAATCAAGTAGCTGGCTTTAGATAGGCGGACGCGGAAGACGCGACGTATCCGGATCCCGGACGTCTTTGCTTTGTTGTGAACCCGTGGACCCAAGAGGAGCCATCATTCATGGGACAAACGAGACCTAATTCCTGCCACTGTCGGCGGGATCATGCGAAAGTTGATGTAGTTTCAAAAGAAGAATACAATGTTCCACGTGACGAGCGTCGATTGCACTCGATAATTAGCTGTACCGGTAAATTATTACGGGCCATTTGGCGGTATCTTAGTCCTCCTTTCACGAAGTCAGAGGCAGAGCTCTCTACCCCTGCCAATGTCGGCGACCGTCACTTTGGCAGGAGAGGACGGTAAGATGAGTTGTAGCCGTCCTCGTGCCGAGTTCTTGTAGTCGCCGTGCTTCGTCTGCCAGTCGATGAATATAAAACGGTTTGAATAATCGAATCCCGACACATAGTTCACTGGCTTTGTCTGGCGTCTTCGAATGAGAAATATTCTGAAAGAAGGTAAGCGAATGAAAACGAAGAGTGAGAAAACGACACGCAAGTTTACGCTATCCAGGATGTATGAACACCGAGGAATAGGAGGCTGATGAAGTTTCCTTTTTGTTGATAGCTTTATTCTATGATTGGACTGGAACACGGATACGCATGGGAATTACAGAAGGTATCGATCTAACCTCAACGATTAACTAATGAATTCGATTAACCAGAGAAACCGATGCCTGCAGGTGGCTTTTACTTATGATAATAATATTTGAAGTTAAAGTTAGGGGCGCGAGTTCATTTAGTTCCACTGTTCCGGGCCTGTTCTCTGACAGAGAATGCTTGACCAAATCGGACCCCGACCATATTGAGAGAGAGAGAGAGAGAGAGAGAGAGAGAGAGAAGAAACGAAAAGGAAGAAACAACCCTGCGTGTCTGAATCAAATTTTGTAAGTCAGTTAACCAAGAAGATGGTAACTGACCATTTAATTAGATACGAGTAAAAACAAAAGTCCACTAATAACGTGAGAATACGTTCTATTTTCTCTTTGACGAATCACCATTTTGATCTCCGATAATCTGAAATAATTTAAAATTTATCCGCCTAATAAGTGGTCTCCGACGAAGCGACTTTTCTTTGAGGTGTGACTTGTCATTAGGCAAGTTGTTGCCTGAGGCGATTTTTTACCAGAAAAATTCCATCGTCGGTACCGTGGCATCTCTCAGAGAAAGACAAAACGACAACCTTGGCATCTCATGCAGGTCACTGAGGTGAAGTTCAAACTCAGAAGTACGGTATGGAATGAAAGTCTTTTTTCTATGTCCATTCACTTGATTAAACATCTACATGTGCTAGATGACCAAATGACATCCTACTGTAAAATCGATAGATTATTTGCCATAAAACCCAAATAATGATTTGACGATTCACTAACACTACAAGACAATATTTACGTTGAGTCAATGTCCCGAAACAAGCGGTGGTTAGATAGCTATTATTAGGTTGACTTGGTCAAGCCATCGGGAGAAGTCCGGAATTTTCCCCTTTCTCTTTTATTTTATATTCGGGATTGGTTTCGAGTGCAAAATAGTTCCCCCCCCCCCACCCCCTCTGTGTAAAACATATTGAAAGAGGAGTCCAAGGAGAGAGAAAACCTTTCCCTCTGAGTTTCGCCGTCTTCCCCCTTTGTGGCTTTGGTCGTGAGCTTATTCTCCTCTATTTTATGTATTTTATTTCAATCATTCATAATCGAACTTCTTCTCCCTATTTTGGTGTCAATGATGAGGTGTATTAACCTCTTCGTTCCACAAAATTCATCCACGAGTCATTCTTCGCCATTCTTCTTGGAGATCTAGTGCTTTGTGGATATAGTGTTTCTTGCGCTTATTCTTCCGTTGCTACACTAGGCCAGCACATCAGGCTATTTCCTAGCAGCTACGAGTACGAGAAATGATTGAAGTGTGATTAAATCTATTGATCCTAACTGTATCGTTGTCTCTGAAAATGAACAAGGTCATACATACAAGACATCTATATAGAAGTGTGCATGAACACATTTGACTGAAGAAATTCTCGATTTCCTCCTAAATCAAAGGAAGGATAGACGAAAGAATTCTTCGTTAGAATACCCGATATTGGGGAGAGGACTTCAGCTGCTGCTTCAACGTACACGGAGTTCTTCTCCAAGAAGGCAAAAATGGTCAGCTACTCGGAATGGTGATCATCTTACTGCTGACCTGTTGCTGAGTCATAGCTTCGTCGGACAAAGAACAGGAAAAATGGAACAAAGAGGAGGTAAAACAAAAACAGACGAAGAAGAACCAGAAGTTGTCGGAGGACTAGATCAATGATCGAGATTCTTCGGAGCACTCCCAATATCTGTAGAGGTCCAAACCAGAGATCCCATATACCATGCAAGATAGCAACATCGTGCTGTGGAGGGCCCATTCGACGCTGGTCGGTATTTGGTCAGAGCACGTGTCCCATATACCATGCAAGATAGCAACATCGTGCTGTGGAGGGCCCATTCGACGCTGGTCGGTATTTGGTCAGAGCACGTGTTAGACATGGAAGAACAGGGAGGCAGGGATTGGGGCAACAGTATGGCTGTTGCGTAACGGCAGGGAGACCTCCACCCATGTGGTGGTGCGTTAATGTGATCTTTGGATTGGTTCATCTTATGGACTATTTGTCAAATCATTATTTGCCTAGTCGTCTGATTTTGACCAGCGGGCTCAAGCCTTCAGCAGGCATCGGCCGACCGATCTCCAAAAATGGTGTAAGGGTAACTTGGTCGACCCCTTTTTGGGACAGGTCCATCCGGACCTCATCTGCTCTTTTTCGTTTATTTAGCGACTGGTTTCAAGTACAAAACCGGTCCAGCCTCGTTGTAAAACAGCTATTAAAATGAGAGAGAAATCAAGGCACGGGAAACCGCCAATCTCCTTTCATCTCCCTTTTATCTCCCTTCTGGCTGAAATTGGGGTTCCACCATCTCCTTTCATCTCCCTTCTGGCAGTTGTGGTTAGAGCTTCATTAACTCCATATAGTGATGTATATTGTTCCTCATTGACGAGTGGATATTGTCCCTTTTTGGTTTGCTGGTCGTGAGGTGTGTTTACCCTCTTCATATCACATTCATTTCGTGGTGTCCTTTTAATATTTTGCTTCCTTCTTAACATCACTTATCATGTTTTGGACATCCATTGCAATATCAGGCCTCATTACAGGCCCATTAATTGGTAAAAACTGGTCTCACTCCCTAATAAATGGGTCTTTGATGTGCAAGTTGCCTGTTGAAGTCAATAAGTTCACTGCCGAAAAAAAAAAAGCCTCTCTCTACTCCAACATTTAACACTGATGTTAAAAGTAACTTGAAGTCTCCTAATAAGTCTTCACTATCATGAGTTAATAATCAGTAAATAATATAATTTTAGCCTTAACTTATGATAAATAGACTTATATTTATGTTAAAGTGTGAAAGGTAGTTTTTAGTTAATTAATGTGTTTTTTTTGGCTAATTATATGATTTTTTATGAATTTATATGATTTTTATAATCTTATTTTTGAGATAAAGGAAGAAAAAAAAAGAAAAATAAAAATATAGCAAAATGGGAGGGACCCACCAACCAGTCGGGCCTGCAAGTAGGTCGGAAATGTAGTCGGGGGGAGCCACAAGTAGGGGCTCGAGTGACTAGGATCAATGGGTGCACGTGTGCGTCACTCCCCTTCCACGTCACTAGTGGCCAGTTAGTTGTGGGGTAAGGAGTGGTCGTCCACACGGGAGAAAGGGACTCATTGCTTGTAAATATGATATTACTATATATTCACTCAAAACTTCGGTGCACAAGCGATGTGGGACTAAACTCGCGTCACACCTTCCCCCAAAAGGGTTTAATGATTTTAATACCTAAACTACCCCTTATTTACAATAGAGATATATCATAATGACGTCACTTGATAAGAGTATTAGAGTACTTATTTCAATCTCTCTCATATAGGTAGGTGAACGGTGTGGGTTCGAATCCTCCTAGAGTCAAAACTCGTATTTTTATCTAATTATCACAACTTTCCTACAGATTGCCGGTGAAGGATTAAGCTATCATAATCGCTGCATCATCGGTACAAATCTCGTCAACACAATTCGCAGAGCATTGTTA